CTTCTCAGCCAACGCCTCCTCTCAGTCTTATTGCAGATCTCCCGCTGGTCTCCCTGCCTCCCCATTTTGCAGTCAGAGCAATCCTTTACCAAAGGACATCCCTCCTATATTTGAAATGCTCTGTTGGCTTCCTATCTTTGTCACTATCAAAACCAAAGTCCTTACAGTGGTCTACAAAGCGCTACCTGAACTACCTTCTCTTACCTGGCTGACCTCATCTGCCCACTGGCTCAGCCACAGGAGTCCGGCTGCTCAGGGTCACCGCAGTGACTGCAGTGCTCTGCCTAGAACACCGTTCTCCTGGAATCTGCATGGCTTCTGCCCTCATTTCCTTCCAGTCTCAGCTTAAATGTCACCTCCTCAGAGAGACCTTTCTTAGCACACCCTCCTCCACCTAAAAGAGCCCTGCATGCGCCAGATTGCCCACGGTCAGAAAAGAGAGTTAGGAATATAGAAAGGGAGAAGACGAGAATGAATTTTATGGCGATAGATTGGAATCAGAGATATGGAGTGAACTCACGGTTTTCAATAGACATGGATATATATAGAAATAAATACAGATGGAAATGGGTGTGTGTGTGTGCACGCACGCGCGCATACGTATATTCTCTAGCTCAGGCCACTGGAGAAGGCCTGGGAGCAACAGTCCAATAACAGTGAACACACCTCATGTCCAGATCTTCACTTCCAAATATTATTCTCCACTAAAAGGAATCAGGACCCCCTTGGAGAAATGGTTGATTCCAGGCCTGGGGCAGGGAAAGTTCAAGAAAAGCCTGGAACATTCTTTGTGCCAAAAACTAAGAAAGTGCTGGGGTGCCTGGGGGGCTCAGTTGGTTGCATGTCTGCCTTCAGCTCGGGTCATGATCCCAGGGTCCTGGGATCGAGTTCCGCATCAGGTTCCCTGCTCAGCAGGGATTTTGCTTCTCCCTCTCTCCGCTCATGCTCTCTCTGTCTCTCTCAAACAAATAAATATCAAAAAAACAAAAACAAAAACAAAAACCCGCTAAGAAAGCGCTCAAAGGATGGTGTGGCACATCAAAAGGATACAGGATCTAGCTTGAAGGGTCTCCCACTAGCCAAATAAAGGACAGCTTGAACATCAACATAACTAATGACAAGAATCGATTCTAACTCACTGAATAAACTAGAAATCCGAGAGTCCCTGTCAACACGAATAAATAAAAAGTTTGATGAGGACCAGGATAATTACACAGTTTTCAAAATAGCTCCCCATAAAATAGTTCCCTGTAAAATAGTTCTTAAAAAGGTAAAAAGAGTAACTTTACAATGGAGAAATCTGGCAGATGCTAGTCAAGTGATTGAAGTTAATACCCCAAGTAATGGAACAAATAGAAATTGTCCACCATCTGATAGGAGGCAATGAGAAGTACACAGCATTATTTCCATGATTATATATATATATATAATATAATATATATAACATATATATATCTGTATGTATTTTTCTGTAACATATATGTTATTTTGGTGATTATATACATATTTTTCCTGTGATATGTATTATTTCTATGATTTCTGCCAAAGATATATAACCTAAATCAAATCATGAAAAAACACTGGATAACCCCAAATTGAGGAACAGATTACAAAATAACTGATAATCATCTTCGACAAGAAATGGAGGAACTGCTCTAAACCGAGATGAATGAGCGAGGACTCCGTAGCTATGTGTGGCACTGGATGTTAATTAGACTTCATACAATCATTGTTTCATGGTACATACATGTATTGAATCATTATGTCGTACGCCTGAAACTAATACTAATAATATGTCAATATATCTCGATTTAAAAAAAAACAAACATGCCAACTAACTGTGGTTCCGTGGTTCTGGAGGGGGATGTTTTGGCTCTAAAGGACATTATTGGGGCAAATGGCAAAATTAGAACACGGTCTAAGGATTAGGGTGTTGCAGAATAACATGATTCTTGTTCGAATTAGGGGGAGTCCCTGCTTGACTCCACGATGGTTCCACAATGCCACCGATGTCTTATGGGCAGGGCCTCCTTATCCCAACCATCTGTGCCACTGTCATCTATGTCCCCTCCTCTACTTTCTCGGTGAAGGGATTGATCCCCACCTTAGGGGTGTGGAGTTTGGATTCTCTTCTTGGGCTTGGATGGTGCTTTCTGGGGCTGGCAGTTCCTCTGTGCAGACTTCTTTTGTCCTCTGTGCCCACGTGGGCATCTGAGCTGCCAGGCTTGCACATTCCCAGGGCCCATTGCTAGCATCTGGGCTTCCCAGGTCATCTTCCAGTCAAACAGGAAGACTTCTGCAAGTACCCAGAAATGATGCGTTTCCTAAAACAAAAAGTAGAGCCTGTAGGTGCAACATCTTTTAGTTTTGTTGTTGTTGTTGTTTGTGTGTGTGTTTTTAAATCCTTGATAGAGTCACTAGTATCTACTGGGGAAATAAAAAGCTATGAAATCTCAGGCTCAGAATCTTCTAAACAGATACCCTAAGACGGGGAAGAGTGGGGGTTAGAACCTAGGGGGGAAAGCCCAATGTCAGGAGGTTCCTTCATATTCTTTTGCCTCCAACAATTAGAGCAGCTGGTCCTTTTGGAGAGCAAATTTTTCTACTTTAAAATAACACCAACTGCAAAGTGATAAGCAAATATCTGTGATTTCTAGTGGTGACAGACTCTCAGGTACAGCTCGTGTGCTTGGCTTTTATTTTTGTTTTTGAGTGTTTACTATATCCATCATGGAAAGAAATGCGAAATTTCATTTAAAGGTTTGTGAATAAAGATGAAATTATTTTCATCTAAGTTTATGAACACACTGAGTCCTAGCCACTGACCCAGGTTAAGGATCCTGAGTTATCACGTGGTGAGTCTGACAGCCCAGAAATCCCTTCAGAAAATGGGCTTAAATCAGGGCAAAGGCTATGGGCGCCCAGACAGGAGGCTAGAAGGGAGCTGTCATCTGGACAGAAAGCCAACTGGCTTGGTGACAGAAGGGGCATGAAAGGTGATGGTTGATTCTGGACAATTTGGAAGAGCAGTTGGGCAGGAAGCAGATGAATGTCTGCGAAGTACAATGGCCTTACCGTAGGCTAGGGGCCTGCTACCTTAGAGGTTAGCCCACTTCCCTCCAAATGCTTCCCACTACCTCCCAGACCAGGTGTGGCCCCCAGGGAAAGTACCATCTACCCTCCAAAATACCCCTCCCCCATCCAGGATTAAGGACCCATTCTGCAAGACCTCTTAGTCCTGACCCTCTTGAAATACAAATCCCTTTTAGAGAGCTGTTATTCACAGTTTAGCCCAAATGAGTTTATCCATCCTTCCCTGAGAGTATTAGGAGAATTTGAGTTCACTGAGCTTCTGAGAATAGGTGGGTATTGAGGGATGGGGGCTAAAAGTGTGCCCTCTTTCCCAGTCTGGCAACGTTGAATAAAAGGGGACCTCACTGGAGCACCAGCCAAAAATTTCTGTTTCTATCACTTCTAGCCTGGGCAGGCTCTGCCCTATCCTCCCCGTTCCCCCACCCCAGTCCCCTCAGAGGCACTTTCTGGGTGGAGAGCTGAGTGGGTCACCCTTTAAGGATAATCAGGAGAAAAAAAAGAATCAAAAAGTGATAGCTCTAAGTAAATTGCATATAAATGTACCCAGGTGAAGTGCAGCCAGTGGGGGCCTAATTAACCTATTTTATTCACCTGTCTGGAGCCTCAAAGACCTTGACATGAGGATCCAGCATTCCCTGTAGACTCCTTGGTTACAGAGAGAATTTAAGACCCTACTGCCCTACCCTCTATTCCCTTCCCAACTGGCGAAAAGCCCCCATTAACTCACAAGTTGTTGGGAGAAAGGCTAGGATAGTCAACAACCTGTAAACATTGGTTATTTTTTCTGATTATAAAAGACTCAAAGGCACTTTAGTGTATTTCCTTCCAGTTCTTTTCCTATGCATTTGTTACATGCCCGAGAACTTACCTGCTAAATCTATACATACACTCCAGTAATCCTGCTTTTGAAACTAAGCGAAGCAATACAAAAGAACATGCATGTAGTCTCTGTCCTTACTGAACAGCAAAGGGCCTTGAAAGATACACGCCAACTTGTGGGAATGTGAAAGGCAAAGAAGAGCAACTCTCGGGTCATGGACTTGTGCACTTACCGGTAAATGTTTAGTAACCACATACTACTGAGTGAGTTTCCTATTGCTGCCATGACAAATCACTGCACTTAGTGGCATAAAACAACACAAATTTATAATCTTAGCGTTCAAGAGCTCAGAAGTCCGAAATGGATCTCGTTCGACTAAAATCAAAGTGTTGGCCGGGCTGGATTCTTTCTGGAGGCTCTAGGTGAGATTTTCATGTCTTTGCCTTTTCCCAGCTTCTAAAGGCTGCCCACAATCCTTGGCCCATGGCCCCCTTCCTTCTTTAAAGCCAGCAGGCCCACCCTCCTGACCTCTGTTTCCATCACCACATCTACCTCTGATGCTTCTGCCTCCCTCTTCCCTTTAAGGATCCCTACAACATTAAACCTACCTGGATATAATGCAGGATAATTTCTCCATCTCAAAATCCTGCATTTATTTTTTTTAAGATTTTTTTTTTATTCGACAGAGAGAGACACAGCGAGAGAGGGAACACAAGCAGGGGGAGTGGGAGAGGGAGAAGCAGGCCTCCCGCGGAGCAGGGAGCCTGATACAGGGCTCAATCCCAGGACCCTGGGATCATGACCTGAGCTGAAGGCAGACGCTTAACAACTGAGCCACCCAGGCGCCGCCATTTTGAATCTTTTAAACAGATATTCTCTGAATTGAAATAAATGAACCTTAACTGGGAGAGACTTTGTGTAGCAGGATGAAATGATGAGACTGTGATGGAAGTGTGTATTTTCTCTGTGTAGCTGCAGGTGGATGAATGCAAACGCTGGGCTACAGGCTCAAAGCATTCTTATTTTCATAAAATCCTTGATCTGTTTTCCATAGGATGTGAAGGGTCTTCCTTTATGAATTCTAACCTTTTCTCTTAATTCTGTTTACAGCATTAAAATGATCACTTTCATTCCCAGGGAGCTCATTGGTTTTTTAGCTTCTAGAGCATCTCCCAGGTTCGGAAGAATAAGCTTGAGGCTAAAGGGAGTTCCCTGTGGTCTGGTTCCTGTAGAGAATAGACGTCCATGCTTTGGAGGAGTATCCTGGGCTGTAGGTCACTTTCTTTTTTATAATCTCTTGGTCTTTTGTCAGGATGTGAGGACTCCAGGTGCTGTGTGAGTCCGTTGTGCCACTTGAGAATTGCCCTGCTGTCCCCAGTCTCTAGGTGAGGAAGTTGTTGGACAGGTGACAGTTGGGTAGCAAAATACGCTCCCTTGCTCCCTAAATTACCTGAGGACGTAATGAGAGATACCTTAATCTCAGTGGCATTGTCCAGGAACCGTGTGCCTACCTGACTTGTTGCTGACTAACAAGAGGGCAAAGCAAGACTTTATACGGGGCGTTGTCGTAAAGGCAACTTACTTAGTGGGTTAACCCTGTACTAATTCACCATTAGGGGGAGAGCAAGGTTTTCGGTGTATACAGATCTCTGGCTCTGGTGTATTTTTTCCTCTGTGACCACTCTCACAGATCTGTAACTGCTTTCCAACTCTAGAATTTTCTTACATTGAATATACTGGTAGCATTGGCTGAATTTATAGATACAATAGCCAGCTTTTATTCTTCTTTTAACTTTTTGACATAACTTTAGACTTAAAAGTTACAAGAATCCCCATATATCTTTCACCCAGATTTCTCAGATGTTAACATTTGCTTTATGCCTTCTCTCTCTCATATATAAACACACGTATATGTGTGTATAAACGTATGTAATTATGTAAATCACAGTGCTCCTTACTGTAGTATTTCCTAAAAACAAGGACAATTCTTATATAACCCCACAGTGCCATGATCAAAGATCAGAAACTAACATTGGTACAATGCTGTTAGCTAATCTACGGCCCCTGTTCTCATTTGCCAGTTGTCTAATGTTTTTATAGTAAAAATCCCAGGTCATGTGTTACATTCAGTTGTCATATCTTTTTAATCTGGAACAGTTGTTCATTCTGTTTCCTGACATTGACATTTTTGAAGCTTACTTATTCTGTAGTGTGTCCTTCTCTGGCTGTTTTTTTGATCAAGTTGTACTTCATGTTTGAGTGCTTTATTTCCCCCAAAGTCTTAAGCTCCCTAATTATGAAAAAGGGAATGAGTACGATTCCTAAGTGGAAGTGGGAGAGAGAGACAGTAGCCAGATCTACTCTCCCGGGAACCCTGACAAAGCAGAGTGGACATGAGTGTGGCAGCTGGCTTGGAAGAATGCAGCTAGATTCCAGCCTGTCAGTCAAGCACCCTGTTAGAGGTGATGCAGGTGCTCTGTGTTTCATAATCTCCCTCTGTTTTGTTATGTGTTCAAAGCTGTAGCTTAGTGACCAGCAAAAGATGACGGTGTCTTTGGCATGTATATATCTCTCCCCTCCCACCACCACACACACGCAGGCTTTTAAAATCTTATTTCATTGAAAACCCATTGGACACTCTTTGCCTGTGCTAGCAGAACTGTGTCTAGTGTCTTGGTGAAAGAATACTCCTTTTCCTTAGTCCGCTTTCTGTCATAGCCACACTTGGGAAATGAGAGCACCGTGGCCAAGAGGGAGGCCTACAGCGTCACTGTCTAGATCGGAATCCTGCCCCCACCCTTCACTGTCAGCTGTGGGACCTTGGGCAAAGGGTTCAACTAGGCTGAGTCCAGTACCTAGGAATTGTGTGGTTTGTCACTAACTAAAAACGAGAAAATAATAAAGTTCCCGTTTATGGAGTGCTTACTACATGCCAGTCAAGTGTTCTAAGCACTTTAATAAAATGTAATTGATTGTGATGTGTCTCTTGTTCCAGAACTACTTACATTCTTCAAATTCTTTAAGACAAGAAGTAACACGTGTAATGCTAGTATTTCTGATTGCAATCTTTAATTTTTCTATCCAGCAGATGGACAGGTTAGCAAGTAGCAGAGGTTTCCAGTCAGTACTGGATCAGAGATCCGTTTTCTCCTTTGCTGATCCATCATCTCTTTCTTTAGGAGTGGTATGTGTTGGGTAGTTTTAGTGGCTCTGGGCTGATTTCAGATTCTAGATGTTGAGGAAATGGGAGTGGCAACAGGAAATGGGAGCCAGCAGCTGGGAAACAAGTTTGTAACTTGATGTCAGTGAACTGGTCTTCGCTCCTGGAAGACAAAATTACATGTAACTCATTGGAAGAGCAGGTGTCTCACCATTTTGTTTCATTTTTTTCCGTTTGCAAGTGCATGATAATACAGCTGTTCAGAGCTATAACGCGCATGCCATTTGGCAGTTATCTAGAAAGCATTTTATTTTTAAAGTATGACATGGGTGTTCAAAATTTGTAAGTGCCCTAAATGTAACTACCTAAAGATCTGACACATATGCTATATGAGTCTGTATTTAACTTAATCTTAAACGTTCTCAAGGGCAGGCCCCACTTTTATCTTGATTTCTTTTTTCTAATTTAGACACACTCTCTTGACATGTGTACAAGATAGCGCAATAGCCACTCGATTAGCTGATGTCGTTGTAAGGTTTTATTTATTAACTTCAAAAGGAATCTCACTTCTGATTACTCTTGTGTATTTAAGCCAGTGAAGAAAAAGAAGATAAAACGAGAGGTTAAGATTCTGGAGAACCTTCGTGGTGGAACAAATATCATTAAGCTGATCGACACTGTGAAGGACCCTGTGGTAGGTGCCTGACGGTTGGGGGAGAAGGAGAAAGTGAGTGCGTGCGTGCCTGTGTGTGTGACACAGAATGTCAAAATAATGAGAAACATTACATAGTGGGAGTGACTGTGTTCATCTTTACTACTGAGTAGTTTTGAAAACTAGAAAAAAATCATGGTGGCCCAAAGATGAAGAAGTTTATGGAACCTAAAAGTGTGTATAGAAAAATCCCTATCCCAAGTTTATTACCTCGTTCTGATTCAGCCCACAAATGTTTGCTGAATGTCTTCTTTAAGCCCTTTTCTTCCAGTTTTGAAAGCTTATTGCCACCAATTAGCCTTATTTTGCTTCACTTAAGTAAGCCTGACATCTGAAAGTCTGGGCTTACAGAAGGAAATACCGAATATCTCCACGTGGACACCTGGCATAGAGATCACAGCCCACAGACCCTTTGAGGACGGCATCTTGCTGTTTCTCATCCTAGGCCTTAATTCACTGTCTATCCCAGGGGCTCACATTGTATATGCTGATACAACTAAACTATTTTTGTTAAAAATGCTTACTTTGTAGCCATTTTAGATGTGCTCTTTAATTTTGTTTTCTCTTCTTGGGGAGTAAACTTAAGTTTATGATTAGTTACAGTTTTTATGTACCACCTCCCATCCCATTTCTGTTCTTCCTCTGTTCTACCTCACCTATTTTCCTATCTTCCCATGCCAGTGTTTCGTGTAAGAGGGAGGTCTTCGCTTCTGTCTGCTGAAGACATCATAAAGAAACAATGTGCTAGCGAACATGCATTGACCTCTTACTCTGTGCCGGCACTGTTCTGGACCTCACACAGTCCAGCAATCCACTGGAGTAGGTGCTGTTACTGGCCACATTGTTACATTGTACAGATAGGACAACTGAAGGCTAGGGAGGTTCAGTAATGTGCTCAAGATTACACAGGATCATTAAGCTGAAGAATAAGGAAAATTTTGCCTTTGGGACCCTAAAAAGACTGAGAAGAATGGTTGTATGCTAGATTCTAGCTAATTGGCATTAAAAATATATCCCGCCTGAGGAGCTCAGATCGATTTTAGAATGACTAACTCCGGACTCCATCATCTGTGAAAACGGCCTGCAGTGTGAGCCAGCACATATTACTGGTGTAGCAGCGGCCTCTGCATTTTGGCTTTTTTTTTTAAGTTAATATAACTTAGTGATACTTGTCTTACTGATACTGTAATGTGTTGCTTAAGGCATGTGTGTGTTTTATATAAAATGGAACACAAGTAAATTAAGATTGGATGCAAACCAAGGGGCGAGCCCTCCTCCTCTAACTTGTAGGGATATGGGCTCATTCCCAGGCAGTAGAGATCTGGTGGTCTTGACGAAGCCCCGTCCCTTCGGGCTAGTGAGGAACCCTTTGACCAGCGCTGCTGGGACTGCTGCTTGTTCTGACAAAGCCCCGTGTGCACGTACTGTACCCTGTTTCCTAGGTAACTTTCACCTGCTTCCTTGAGCAAAACTTCCCAGCCATAAAGATTTCCAAGGTGATTTTCTTTCTATAACCCTTTAAGCCCCTGCTTTTCTCTTAATTTTGAAAGCTTATTACTGCTAATGAGCATTATTTTACCTTACTTAAGTAAATCTGACGTTTGAAAAATTTATACAAGGAAATATTAGACATTTGGTACTCATTGCATTAAATGATTTTGGGGGTTGGGGGGGAGACACATCTACCTTGTAAATTGAGACATTCTCTAGTGGTCTCTAACCAAGGCAGTAATTTCACATTATAGCCTCCTGATAATCATAGATATTTTCCTTTTGGATCCTGAAAAGGCCTATGATAGATTCCCAAGACGTATGATAATTCTGTAAAATGCATCTGGCTCGCTAAACCAAGATGAAAACATGTCACTACTTTTGTGGTTGGCAGACTAGAACACTGCAGAGTATAATTCTTCACATAATGTGCCAGGCCCACTGACAGGTTGGTCAGAGAATACATCTCCTTTAAAAAAAAAAAAAAAAAGAAGAAGAACCTTATGAAAAATGTCAACTATTTACGAAAGTAAAGTGAATTAGATAATGAACCTCCCTGGACACATCACTCAACTTTAGCAGTGCCGCAACCTCGTGGCCAACTTTGTTTCATCCCCCTGCCACCCACTTTCCCACCACCCACCCTCCCCACTTACTTCGAAGCAAATTCCAGACTCATAGTCTCAAGAGAATACTTTCTTAATAGGCTCTCCCTGATGAGTGAATCCCGTTTTCATTTAAGTGGGATTTGGGGATGGATCGGTACAACAGAAACAAAGCATGTTTATTGTTTGAATACTTACAAGGCATTACTATTCTCTCTTGCAGTCAAAGACCCCAGCTTTGGTATTTGAATATATCAATAATACAGATTTTAAGGTGCGTATATGCTTTTTCTTTCTGGCATGGGGTTAATGGGGGATGGGCAGGTGGCGATAAGTACTGTGGATGCTCCAGAACAAAAGGAGGCCAGGAAAAGTCATTGGTGAGAGTGGGAAGTAACAAATCGGATTCCTTACCGCGTGAGTATAGGATGCAGAAAGTGGGTAGGGTTCTTGTATTTGGTGAAATTACTCATCACCCTTTGCCTTGCTTACTCTGGGAATAGCTGCTGGGCTGGGTCTAAGTTAATGCCTCATCTATAACACTCCTGTTTTAGACAGCATTGTTTTAAGTAGATATTTGATTTGCATAGGAGTCTTCCCTTGTTGATGTGGTAAACGGATACAGGGCTCATGTGAAAAGAAGCAGGACATGGGATTCAAGCTGTCAGAGTGTGTGTGTTCACGAACACTGTATACAAAGCAAATGACACAGAAAAGGTAGTTAAATGTCGCTGTGCTTTAGAAAAGCCCTATCCTGGGTTATTTACATTTCTTATAATGAATGTTAATTTAGACTTAAAGTGTTCTTCTAAAAGCATGGTTTTAAGCTGGTTTTTTCATGAGTTTTTTTTATTAATCGTTCAGACACTACAACCTTAACTTCTGGTAAGGTTTTTGGGGCCAGTTATTCTGGACATGGTAGAGTGTAATATGAAAACCAATATAAGAACAAAATAGTGGTGTTGATTTTGAGGGGTGTTTGGAGAACTTTTAGATGATTATAACACTCTGTCAATGAATCAAAGACTTGTGATTTTGTTGTGATGGAAGTTAGGGCCAAAACCACATCAGCAGTTGAAAAATGCTGGTATCAGGAGTGAAGCTTTTGGGTGAAAATAAAAGAGCTTTATCTCACATTTAATTTTTCTTAGGTAATCACTCTAAAACAACTCTAAAATAGGGTTAATTAGTGGAAAATAAATAAACGGGACTATAATTTATGAAACAATAAGTAAGTTTTATATATAGTGTAGCTTTTCCATGTGTAACAAGTTTCCTTGTTAGTCTGACTCCTTACAGGTGAAGTCAACAGTGAGCTCTTAACAGTAGGATGTAAATGTTTTCATCAGCCTGACGGTGCTTAGCCAGTAGAGTTTTTTGTGATACACATGGTTGATCCCAGTTTTGCCGTGAATGACCCAAGTTTATCAAGGTGTGTGCATTTCTTAGTGAAACCGAACATTTTCCTGAATACCAAAGTTTAAAAGCTGGTCTTAATGAAACTTCATATGAAATGCCTAAGTTTTAAATGCTACTGCTTCCTTAATGAGTTTTTACCAGTTGTCTGGCCACACATACAAAATTTTCACTTTAGCATTTTGTGTTTCTTAAATTGACAGCTGCCCTGTGGATTTAACAGCATGCAGAAGATGGGTTAGCAGAAATTTTTAACTCCTTGGAGAAATCTTACTTCTTTTGCATCTTAACTCTCAAAGGGGATGGTTTAATGGCACACATTCTCTAGGAGCTTCCTTTAAAGACATCATGGAAAATTCATGTTTTTTGAGGCTCTCATATCTGAAAACATTTTTATTTTATCTTCCTAATTAATGGACTTGCCATGGCATAGAATTCTGGGTTGTAACTAATAATTTTCTCAGAATTTTGAAGAGCTTTTTCCATTATCACCACTGAAGCCATTCTGGTTTCACCTTACGTGATCTGGTTTGGGTTTTGGTTTTTTCTTTGGAAAGCTTTTAGAATTTTCTCTTCAGTCGCAGTCTGTGAAATTTCACAATGATGTTCCTTCGAATGGGTCACTTTTATCTTTTGTTCTGGACACTTGCTGGGCTTTTTCAATCTAGAAACTCATGTCCTTCCGTTTTAGAACAGTATTTTTAACATTCTTTGATTTTCTTCCCTTTCTTCTTTGTTCTCACTTTCTAGAACTCATTCAAATGTTAGACTTCATCTCTTAGCTCTATTCTGTTCTCAGAACTTTTAAAGGTAGTATCCTGTTCTTTTATGTAATATCTTCTATTCTCTCACTGAGAATGTGTGGGTTTTCTCTTCCCCCCCCTTGATGTTTTCTTCTTGTGCTGTTTTCTCAGTTTTTCTTTCAAATTCTTTTTTGTGTGTGTGTTCTTCTTTTTGTCTCTGTTGCAATTGTCTGAAATGTCATGGTTTTTGACTGTCTCCTCTTATGAGTTATGAAATTACTGATGACTGCTTATCAGCTCCTTTCTGGAGGATGTGAGCCTGGCTGCAAGCCTCCCGGCCTCCAGCGGAGGAGCCCCGTGGGGAATGTTAACGTGCACTTTCACGTAATTCCCCATTTCCAGTGTGGTGTTTTAAACTTGTTTTCTTGTTTTCAGCTGAATCTGTTGACTCTCTTTCATTGATACCTGGGGTCACCGATTCCTGAGCCTTTCGGTAGTTCTTCCACGTGCAGTTGTCTGCTTCTGGACCCCCTCTGCTCTTGGCAGAATTTGGTCTGCTATGTCAGTTGGACATTTTTATCTTGCTTCAAGATGTCATCTCTTCCATTCTGTTAGTTATTGGGAGTGAATCCCCCAAACCCCACTCCTTTTACTGTTACTTTAGAGGAGCGTCAAGAAGAAGCAGGGTAGGATGTGTTTGGTCTGCGGTATCACACCAGAGGGCCCCCGTGAGTGGTCAAGCAAGCCCTGCCATTTTAGTCAACTTACAAGATTGTTAAATATTAGGTAGCCGATGTGTGTTTTGGAAGAGCAAATCATGACAAGATGGTCATTTTCTGCTCCAGGTAGTATGACAGGCCGCAGATAGGGAAGTCAGCTAGTTTAATGTCCTCATCCCCTTCAGGCTTTTTATTTTGTCCTGTGTCTATCTTATTAGAAAAGCTTGTTTTTATTTTTTTCATTTTACTGTTAAGTGTATCAGGAGCTGGATTTAAGGTATCGCTCAGAGGAGGTTTGTCCCAGGTTTAGTATCAGAGGTGAATCAGCAGTGATACAGCCCGCAGCCTGTTCTTTTCAGAATTTTTTATGGATGTAATTGATCATAAATTTTTATCCATAATTTCCTTTTATTGTAGATTCCTGATTATCCTAACTTCATAAAATAAGTTGGGGAGCTCTTCCTTTCTAGTCTCTGAAAGTTTATATGAAATAGGGATTATCTACTTGTCTTTTGGGAGAGAAGGGAGACTTTGGACTATACTTGCCTTTTCAGAATGTACATACATCTAAATGAAAGGCTTCTCCTGGTTTTTTGTCTCTTCGTGAGTTTGTTTGAATGATAACGATTTCTAAGGTCCACTTTCAATTTTATTTACATAAAGTTAATAGAATTCTCTTAGGGCTTAAAGACTTTAATGTGTTTATAATTATGTTTTCATTTACATTTTCAACATTATTTGGGCTTTTTTCTCTTTTCAAAAAATTACCAGTATTGCTAGAGATCTCTTTTACTAATACTTTCAAAGAACCAGCTTTTGGTGTTATTGCTCAAATGTTTCCTTGTTTCTGCTCCTATCTTAATTATTTTCTTTCTTCCTCCCTTCTTTCTTCCTCAACATTTTCATTCTTGGGTTTTCATTGTTTTCCCCCTAACTTCTTGAGTGGAAGTCTGCTCATTTCATGTGTTCCTATCTTTCTTGATTGGTGGTGTGGGCTTTAAGTCGTGCAACATCAAGCACCGCCTTAGCTACATTCCATGGTTATGGAACTCACTTCTGTATCGTTTTCATATTAGAAGTACAAATTCCAGGAGCGCCTGGGTCGCTCAGTCCCTTAAGCAGCTAGTCTCTTGGTTTTAGCTCAGATAGTGATCTCAGGGTCGTGGGATGGAGCCCTGTATCGGGCTCAGCGCTCAGCTCAGAGTCTGCTCCTCTTTCCCCTCCCTCTCTGCCTCCTCTCCTCCTCCTCCCCTGCGCACGCTCTCTCTCTCTCAAATAAATAAATAAAATCTTTATTTTAAAAAGAAGTACAAATTCCAAACTCGGGAATTTGAGTTTTTCTCCCCCAACTTTGTACTTTGCAATATTTTATTTATTTTTTTTTTGAAGATTTTATTTATTTATTTGACAGAGAGAGACACAGTGAGAGAGAGGGAACACAAGCAGGGGGAGTGGGAGAGGGAGAAGCAGGCTTCC